AGCAGCCAACGTGCAGCCAGGTGTGTAGGAATGAGGGGTTTGGGGCCAGGGTTGAGGTCCAAATATCCCCCAGAAAGGCAGGCTTTCCCATCACCTGGAACATGACACTGTGGGAGTCATTCTTTAGGTCTCTCCTTCTTGTCTTTGTTTTCAAAGCTCATCTCTCAGAAGTGTATGATGGTTTATGTCTCTTAAGCTTGTATTTCCCCAAGAATAACTCACTAGCCGGCTCCTATTGCAGTGCCTTCCAAATTTGCCTGTTTGTTGATTCTCCATTGTAGTGTAAGACTCAGGGAAAGAGAACTCAGTGCTGGTCAGACTGGGAGTCATTTAGTTTTAGAATTTGAGAGCAGACTCTAGTCGAAAGATCTCATACCAAAGTGAACATGATGTCTTGAGTTATGACTTTCTTGACTGAAGTGTTTTCTTTGACTGACCGATCTATTTCCTCTATCATATCCTCCATGCCCAATATTCTGTCTTCTGTATCATGTATTTGTTTGCTTCTGTAGTTCCTGCTCAGTTACTCAGATTTTTATTTCTAGCATTCCCTTGGTTGGTGTCTTCTTCATTGCTTCAGCCTCAATTTTTAGGTCTTGAACTGTTCCCTTCACCTGTTTGATTGCTTTTTCTTGGTTTTCTTGGCTTTTTTAAAGGGATTTGTTGATTTCTTCTAATTTTTGTTTGTCTTTTCCTCAATTTCTTTAAGGGAATTTTTCATTTCTCTTTAAAGGCCTCTATCACCTCCACAAAGTGATGTTTTAGGTTCTTTTCTTCTGCTTCTGTGTTGTGATTTTCATGTCTTGCTGTTGTACAACCACTAGGATCTGGTGGTGCTATGTGGCTCTTTATGTTGTATTCTTGCATTGGTGTCTACCAGTCTCTTCCATAGTCAGTGCAACCAGTTTTTTGTCTGAAGGAACTGCTCTTGATCCAGTCTGTGGAGGCTCAGTCTGTGTCTCAGGGGGCCATTCTTGATCCAACCTGCACTCTTGGGTCCAATCAGAAATCTTGGTGCAATCAAGCTGGTAGATTCTGTGTCTCAGGGAGCTGCTGAGGTCACAGGCATAGGTGTGGTTTTGGGCAGAGGGAGTTGATCTCATACATTGCAAGGTCCCTTGGGAGATATAGGTAGGGAGATCTGCCCACTGGAGTCTTCCCTAGTGGCCTGCAATGGTGGGGTTAGGTGTACGTCAAGGGTTGTGCCCTGGGGCCTAGGTCCAAGAGTCAGGACTTTCTGGCTAGGAGAAGAGTCACTCACCTCTTGATCCAATCAGAGCTGGTGGAACCTGTGCCTTAGGGAGCCACTTAGGTCAAAGGGAGATGGGTGATTTTGGGTAGGGAGTGGTGTTGTAAATTGCAGTATTTAATGTGCAGGTGTTTGTCCAGAGGCCTGCCCACAGGAGACTTCCCTACTGGCCTGCAACTTGGGGAGCAATGAATGAGGGTGGGGAGGCATGAGTTGTGCTCCAGGACCTAGGTCCTAGAGACAGGATTCTCTGGCTGGGAGAAGAGTCAGTCATTCACCTCTTGGTACAATCAGAACTGGCAGATTGTGTGTCTCAGGTTGCCCCTGAGGTCACAGGGGGATGGGTGGG